TTTTTTTTTTTTTCTTGAGTCAGAGTCTCACTCTGTTGCTTAGGCTGGAGTGCAGTGGCATGCTCACAGTCATCCCATCATCTACTTGCTGGACTCAGGTGATCCTTCCACGTCAGCTTCCAAGAAGCTGGAATTACAGGTGCGCACTACCACGCGCACCTGTATTTTTTGATATTTTGATATATTGTAGAGACGAGGTCTCACCAAGTTGCCCAGGCTGGTTTCAAACTCCTAGGCTCAGGCAATCTGATTGCCTTGGCCTCTCAAAGTGATGGAATTATAGGCTTGAGTCTATAATTTTTTTAATATATTGTAGAGACGAGGTCTCACCAAGTTGCCCAGGCTGGTTTCAAACTCCTAGGCTCAGGCAATCTGATTGCCTTGGCTTCTCAAAGTGATGGAATTATAGGCTTGAGTCACCATGTCCAGCCACTCATTTATTTTTAGGATGAAGTATGGATTTTATAGAAGGAGATGTATTAAGCAGGTGCAGTTGCTAAAGTCTATAATCCCAGCAATTTGAGAGGTAGAGGCAAGAGGACTGCCTGAGCCCACAGGTTTGAGATCAGCCTGGGCAAAATGGTGAGACTCTGTCTCGACAATAAATAAAAAAAAATTAGCCAGGCATGGTGGCATGCACCTGCAGTTCCAGCTGCTTGGAAGGCTGAGGCGGATTACCTGAGTCCAGCAGGTCGAGGCTGCGATGGTTGTGAGCATGCTACTGCACTCCAGCCTGGGTGACAGAGTAAGACTCTGACTCCAAAAATAAATAAATAAAATAAATAATAATAATAAAAAGGAGATGCATTAATTGAGTACCATTCTTGGCCAGATTAATTTCCCTGAGCACTCTGCCATCCCCACTATCTTCACCCAACTCTGGGAGGTGGGTGAAAAATATCTTTCCACTTTACAGATGAGGAAACTAAAGCTCAGCACATTTCTTTTATTATTTTTTTGAGTTGGAGTCTCACTCTGTTGCCCATACTGGAGTGCAGTGGCACACTTCCGGCCACCGCAGGCTCCACCTGCTGGGCTCCAGCGATCCTTCCGCCTCAGCCTTCCAAGTAGCCAGAACTACAGGAGTGCGCTACCATGCCTGGCTAATTTTTTATTTATTGTAGAGTCGAGTTCTCGCCAACTTGAATCCACAGACTCAGGAAATCCACTCGCCTCGGTCTCCCAAAGTGCTGGGATTACAGGCTAAGCCACCGAGCCCGGCCAGCTCAGCACATTTCAATCCTTTCCCCCAGGTCTGTGAATAGCAGAACAGGAGTTTGAACTCAGATCTATCAAAATTCCATACTTGCTCTACCATAACACACCAAAAATTACTCCTTGCCTGGGAAATTCTGTAAAAGGTCTGCATTCAATATGTAAAATGCCACTGGGTACAGTGGCCCACACCTGTAATCCCAGCACTTTGGGCGGCGGAGCCCAGAGGACTGCCAAGCCCAGGGGTTCAAGACCAGTCCAGGCAACATGGTGAGATCTCATCTCTACAATAAATCAAAAAATTAGCCGGGTATGGTAACATGCGTCTGTGGTTCCAGCTACTTGGAAGGCTGAGGCGGAAGGATCATCTAAGCCCAGCGGGTCAATGCCACTGCACTTCAGCTTGGGTGACAGAGTCAGACTCCAGTTCAAAAAAACAAAACTAAAACTAAAATTAGAGGGGCACTGTGAGTGTGGGCAACAGAGTGAGACATCGTCTCAAAAAAAAAAAAAAAGAAAAAAAAGCCACATGAAGCATCTGCAGTATGTGTGGGACTCAAACATGAACCTGGAGATGGAACAAGTCTTCGCCTATATCCAAATCAAAAAATAATTGTCTCTATTGCTACATCAATGGAGAGCTTTTGGATCTTAGAGGGAGTTAGAAGGCTTACAACCTCCAGAGTCAGAAGATCCTGGGGCTGTATTGCTGCCAAGTTTAACACCAGCACAATAAACACAAAGGAGTCCTTAGCCATTGAGGGACTTGCCCTGGTAACAAAAATAACTTTCATTTTTCACATTTCTTGAGCATAGTGTCAAACTGTACTTTCCAGGAGAAAAAAAGGATATGATAGAAAATCAATTCTTTTAATAGAAGCTTTCCAAATTCTCACTGTATTTTATTTCAGTGGATGGAATGCCATCATTGAAAACCAAAAGGTCAGGCTTCTAGAACTGATTCCTTTATTTATTTATTTTTTTTGAGTTGGAGTCTCACTCTGCCGCCAAGACTGGAGTGCAGTGGCCGCTCCCGG